CACATGAAGTTAAGTTTTCATTTAATTTACAACCCAGCCATCACACTTCTGGATCCTTATGCTAGAGAAATGCAAACTTATACTCACTCACAGTGAGCTTATAGAAAACTTGCAGTGGTTACTACTTTAGAAACAGAAGAAGGAATGGGGTTACTCTTTTAGTTCTGTCTGTAACGTTTGAGAGAAAGAGCAAGAGAGAGATGGCGGGGTGGGGGAAAGGTTATAGAAAACACAGCAAAGTTAAATTCTCATTGCTAGGGACCAAAGGAGTCTGCTAGGTAATTTTCTGTACTTTTCTATGTGAGAATTATTTTAAAAATTGATCTTTTAAAATGACTAGTAACAACCACAGTTTTTACTAGCTCAGTGAGTTCATAGGATGGAGAATGGAACTCTTATTGCCTACAACTTTGCCAGATGTATTCCCAATATGCCACATAAATGCCAACAAATGTCCCATCTGAAAAATCTTTTAATTTGCTTATGAATTAGAGGGTATTCAACTTGAAATAAACAACTTGTAGTCCACCACTCCCAGTCCACAATGTACATGTTTTCAATACACAAAAAGAGAAAGTTAAAAAAAATGAAATCAATTGGGTTAATAATGGTAGATATGTACACACCATGTCAGTATACGTTAGAACCAATAAACGGATTCAGCAAAGTTGCAGGATGCAAAATCAATATACAAACATTAGTTGCATTTCTATATACTAATAACAAATGTCAAAAAGAAGAAATTAAGGGGGCTGGCCCCATGGCCGAGTTGTTAAGTTCGCGCGCTCTGCTGCAGGTGGCCCAGCGTTTCGTCAGTTTGAATCCTGGGCCCTGCTCGTCAAACCATGCTGAGGCAGCATCCCACATGCCACAACTAGAGGGACCCACAACTAAGAATATATAACTTGTACCGGGGGGCTTTGGGGAGAAAAAGGAAAAAATAAATAAATAAAAATAAAATAAAATCTAAAGTTATAAAAAAAGAAAAAGAAAAAAGCCCTGTTTACAATTATGTCAAAAATAATAAAATACCTAGGAATAAATTTGACCAAGGAGATGAAAGACCTATACACTGAAAACTACAAGACATTTAGAAAAGAAATTGAAAAAGACACAAATAAATGGAAAGACGTTTGATGCTCATGGATTGGAAGAACTTATATTGTTAAACGTCCATACTAGCCAAAGCAATCTACTGAGTCAATGCAATCTCCATCAAAATTCCTAGGACATTGTTTACAGAAGTAGAACAAACAATCTTAAAATTTCTGTGGAACCAAAAAAGACCCTGAATAGATAAAGCAGTCTTCAGAAAGAACAAACCTAGAGGCATCACACATCTTGATTTCAAACTATATTACAAAGCCAGAATATCAAAACAGTATGATATTGGCATAAAAAAACCATATAGACCAATGGAAAAGAGTAGAGAGCCCAGAGATAAATCCACACATATATGGCCAATCAATTTATGTCAAAGAAGCCAAGAATATACAATGGGAAGGACAGTCCCTTCAATAAATACTGTTGGGAAAACTGGATAGCCACATGCAAAAGAATGAAACTGGACCCCTCTCTGACACTATATACAAAAATCTACTCAAAAGACATTAAGGACTTTAATCTAGGACCTGAAACTATAAAACTTCTACAAGAAAACATTGGGGCTAAGCTCCTTGAAATTGGTTTTGGCAATGACTTTTTGGATTTAAAACAAAAAGCAAAGACTACAAAAGTGAAAATAAACAAGTGCGGCTACATCAGACTAAAAAGCTTCTGTACAGCAAATAAAACCATCAACAAAATGAAAAGGCAACCTGTTGAATTGGAGAAAATATTTGCAAATCATATATCTGATAAGGGATTAATATTTAAAATATATAAAGAACTCAATAGATAAATAATCTGATTAAGAAACGGGGGATCTGAAAAGACATTTTTCCAAAGAAAGCATACAAATGACCAACAGGTACAGGAAAAGGTATTTCGAAAAGATATCTACATGCCCATGTTCATTAAAGCATTATTTACAACACGGGACATGCAAACAACCTAAGTGTCCATCTATAGATGAATGGATAAAGAAAAAATATATATATATACACACACACACACACACAATGGAACGTTATTCAGTCATAAAAAAGAAGGGAATCATATCATTTTAGACATCATGGATGGAACCTGAGGGCATTATGGTAAATGAAATGTCACACAGAGAAGATAAAGACTGTATGATCTCACTTATATGTGAAATCTAAAAAGAAAAAAAAAACAAACTCATAAATACAGATACCAGTTTGGTGATTGCTAGAGTCAGGATTTTGGAGGGTGGTTGAAATAGGTGAAGGTGGTCAAAGGTACAAACTTCCAGTTGTAAGATAAATAAGTCCTGAGGATGTATTGTACACCATGGTGGCTATAGTTTTAAAATTATATGTATATGTATGATGTCAGTATATGAACGCCCACGTCTCTCAAAGTTTGTTTTGCTTCTTTTTCTAGTAGTTTGAAAACTTGGATAAGAAATTTGGAATAGTGTGCATATCTGATTAGAGTAGCTTTGATTGGACTGAAATACACAAGACTAAAATTGAATAATGCCTACACTGGAGTGGGTGGTCAGCGTCAGAGGACAGCCGTTATCAAGGATGCAGGAGGAAGGGAGAACAGTAAGGTCCAGGAACCTCAATAGTGACTCTGTGGCTTCGTATGATGCATGAGTTTGGGGGTTTCTGTAAAGGAACCAAGGAAAGTCTGAGGACAGTTTACCAGAGAGTAACTCAGTTCTTCTCATTTGGGTTTCTTTATGAGGTGGTCAAACAAAAATAAAATGTACGAAATTTAATGATTTGACATAAACACTTTCACTAGATGAATTTTCAGAATAAAATGGAAAAGAATTTTCATTCCTTCAATGTCCAGGAAGGGAAATATTTTTGTTTTGGGAAATACTTATACTGTTAATAGGTTTTACTATTTTCACTGATAATACTGCATTTTGGGACAGGTTTTTCCTTCATGTTAACTGTAATAAGAATTGTAGAATTGCAAGAAGTAATATATGTGCATTCATAGCAACACCACGGCCAAGAATTTGAATTTTGAGGACCCATGGATTCTCCCTTCCTAGAACTTCTAATAAGTTAAGCATAGAGTTACATTACAAATGGATATGATTTTACTGCCATTACCATTTGGTGTTCCAATACACAACTGCAGAGATTATGGAGTCAGAAGCCTGTTTTGTTATCATTTGTCTGAGTGATGTTTGCTGTTGTGAAGGTGCCAGTAGCCATGATTTGATGGGTAGAGGGAGGAAGGGAGATGATGACTTCTGGTTTGTCTCTTGTAGGGAAGACAAGGATTGATGAGCGTATTTCACTTTAGAATCAGATTGGAGGCAAAACAATCAAAACATGAATGAATGTTTGCAATCAGGCCATGATTCATGATAAGTTTGTCTCAGCTGAGCCCCTCAGATTTTATCACAGGTTAACTTGCTAAACTTGGAAATTTTAGGTAATAAATCTCCTTCCAAAATTTCCTTCAATATTAAGCTTTAGGCTTATCCTTTACCAAATATAATCATTTACCATTAAATCACAAGAAAAGACAAAACAACCTTTAGGACAGGCCAAATCTCCCAAACTGAGGGTCATAAAACATTCAAACTTGACTAGTCAGGAAATACATTTCAGAGGCAGCTACAATATGCAGCTGAGGAACTTTGCATCCCTACTGTCAGGAACACAGAGCAGGGCCATTTCAACAGGAGGGAAATCCTGCCATCTTGCTGCACCCCAGGCTGCTGTGGACATTCGTGGTCTCCTCTGCTTAGTTACAAATAATTGCAAACCAAGTCATGGGCTTCCTGTCAGCACTCAGAGAGGAAATGGGACAGAGGAGCAGATGTCTCAGCTAATCATAAACTCTCTTCCCTGCACCACTCATTGACAAGTTATTTTGATCTTAGAATCAAAGAACTGTCACTGTTTTAGAGACTCTGTCTGTACTTTCTTTTCTATTTGTCTTTTGGACTTTTGGTCCTTTTACATTAATTCATCCATTAAAACAATAAAACCAGATGAAAGATTAACAACTGCATTCCCCATGGTCATGTGACAGGATGCAAAACTTCAGTCACCAACTTCTGTGGAGTTGACATATACTGAGTGTTTGCAGCCCGCAGCTATCACATTCTGCAGGAGTGGATTACAGCACTGTGTCACAGAGAGATCTGGCACACTTGTCTTGACTTTATTTTACAAAGAGAAAAAATACCCAGTCATAGAATTTAATGAGTGAAATTGAACACTTTAGACCAATAGGATAAAAAATGTGACATCAGGACCATTCTAGGATGCACAATCTAATAAGCACAATTCTACTTGTGGAGGCAACAGGACTGAAAATCCTGATCCTCTTCAGAGTCTAATAAATAAAACTCAATGCCAGATTTCAAAATAATACTTTATTTCTGTTATAATTTCATAAAAACATAACTGAATAGATTCTAAAAGTCAGAAGGATGAGTTTTTATCATTTGATGTTAAAGGAGCTTTATTTATTGTAAAACTTAAGTTGAGTCCTAGAGCTCAGTAAAAAAGAAGAAACACATTCATTAACAATTTTAGATAGGATTGCCTTTCACCAAAAATGCCAAAGTTCTCTGAGGTTTTAAAAAATTTCATTAGATTCTGGGTGGAGAAATGTAAAAATAGGTTAAGTGAATGACCAGTAAGTAGATATGACGTGGGTCCATAGCCTATAAAAAATCCTATTTTAAATGAACCCCTGAAGTTATTCCGCTGAATAATTATCAATATATGTCAACGATCTTCAGTTCCCCTCAGCTCAAACCTCTCATACTAATTGCTTTTTCTATGCCACTTTTCAGATACTGCCTAACTTAATTCTAGGGAAAGATGAGCAGACACAGTAAAGGTTTGGGGTGAGCCAAACTTTTTTCTCATCTATGCGTAGACCACGTGGTCTGTGAATGTAAGAAAGCCTGTTCCTGTTTGGGGGAGGGGCATCAAAACCCAGGAACTATGTATATATGCTGCCAGGCACTCAGAGACACTGGCCTGTCAGCTTGAGGCAGAACTAAACACATTTGTGCAGGGGACACATGACACATGTCGCTCTCCAGCCTGTTAGGAGTATTCCTGGCCTTCATCTTCTCTGGTAGGGATGGGTCCAAACATGGGTAAGGATCTTAAGGATGAAAGGGGTGCATACAGGCATATGGTACTTCACACGCACTTAGGAGGAAAGGAGGATTGGAGAAAAGAAGCATATTATGATTGCAATTTGGTTTGTCTTTGGGTCCTAAATTAGTCTAATTACAATATTTTATTCACTACATCAACTCTGTTTACTGATCTTCCTGCAGGATCCAGTGTGGCCCAGAGAGTTACTCAAGGCCAGACAGCCACATCCATGCAAGAAGGGGCATCAGTCACACTGGACTGTCGGTATGAAACAAGTCAGAGCACATACTCTATTCTTTGGTATAAGCAGCTTCCCAATGGAGAGATCGTTTTCCTTATTCGTCAGAGTTCTTCTAGCCAGGATGCAAAGAATGGCCGCTATTCTACAAACTTACAGAAAGCAGCTAAATTCATCAGCTTCACCATCTCAACCTTACAGCTGGAAGATTCAGCAAAGTATTTATGTGCTCTCCAAGAACTCACAGTGTTTGAAGTGATAGTAACAGCAGAACAAAAACCCCAGAGCTCAATAAGAGAGAGCCCTCCTGCTGCAGGGCCGAACTGAAACGCACACCTGCAGATCCCAGGCAAGAAATGGCAGTACTGTGGGTGCTTAATCTGTGGGCTGGATCAGATGATTTAACTCTCAGTAAAACTTCCTTCTACGTCATTAGGAAACAGGTGTGCTGAGTAACTTCTGATACATTCTCAGTCTTAAATTTTTGACTTAAAATAGATCATACAGAATGTGTAAAGTTATCTAAAGTAGAAAACACTAGTCCCACAATAATTTAAAGTGACAGTTTCAGTTAAAGATGCTGAAATTGTAAACCTGATTGTTGTCTAGTTGTCTGGAATCGTCATGAAAATCATTTCCTTAGCCCTTCCCTCTTAGGCTTTGAGTCAGTTAGGGTGCAACCAGAGAAGCAGAATCACCACGGATAATGTAGAATGAGATTAATGATAAGGATTAAAACTCACTCAACTGCTGGAGCTGGTGGAGGAGTCTATATAAAGCTGCTGTCTTCGCATCTGGTATTGAGTCTAAATGTGCTCTAAGTCAGCTAGAGTGACATTTGTGAAGGAAAGTTGGATGTGGACAAAAGCATAGACAAATTGTGACTTGTAAGGACATATTAGAACCCATGAGGACAATTGCAACCCTCAAAAGCTAAACCTTGTCCCTCACCTCCTTCAATCTCATAGTGGTGGGTGACCTTCAGGAGAAGTGAGTGTCACTTGCCTTCATGCTACATGAATACTTGGCCCAAGACAAAGAGAAGCTGAAGGAGGAGACCCGGTGGGAGGTGGAGGAGTTGTGAGGCAACAACAAGAGGAGCTGGCAGATCAGCAGCGTGTGTGAGTTGCCGCAGCGCCTGGAGCCCCGCACCAAGCTGCAGAACGAAAAATATGAGTGCTTCATCACAGCTGCCTTCCAAATACTGTAAAAATCTCTTCGTGGCCAACCCCAACCCAGAACAATATAGGGAAGCAAATCCAGAAATATATTTCCAGATAGTTAGTTGAGAGTGTACAGTACTGTCACAGTACCCTCCTGGTAAACTTGGCATCCGTATATACCTCTTGTAACAACACAACTTTCAAATAAAGACAATAGCAAAATTATGCTTCCTGCTAATATAGTGCAATTATTCCTCATTCAACCAAAAACAAGCTAATTATCTCCTGCAAAGAGGATCCAAAGTTCATTCATCTGTTTTTGGATAAATTTCCTCTTGTAGCTGAGTCACACTCTCCCAGTGATATCCCGTACCTTAACTACTGAGATATAATAAGATACAAGATTAATTTATAATATTAATTATATTATTATATATAATATATATAATATATAATAAATTATACATAATTTATAAGTAGCACTTCTTATGCTACTACTCGTAGACAAATGGGAGAGGGGAGTAAAAAATGGTTAATATATACATAAATATACTCATACCAAAATGAAAAATAAATTTTCATAACTATTATAATTCTTGTTTATGCAAATGGCAACGTGATTATAGCTGGTATTTATAACTGCCTCTTCCATTACCCATTCCCTAATCTCTTTCTCATAGCAAGCACCTCCATTCACTGCTATACTTGTCTTTCTAAAAGTATAAGCTCCTTTTTCAGAAGCAATGCTATGTGGAATGGCATAAAGTTGAAGGAATTCTGCAAGTCCACCACTGTGGTTTTGGCAGAAGCATTGCAGGCACAGAGAGCAAATCCATATTCAGAGCGTCTATTTAAGTGGGAAAAAAATCTTGCCGATATCCAGAGGAAATTGATACACTGTGTTTCTGGAAACATCATTAAGAATAATACCTGACTTCTCATCAGAAACAATAGAAGTCACCAAGGGAAAGCATTTTTAAAGTGCTTAAAGAAAACAGACAAATAAAACTTTCAGGCTAGTTCCCTACGAACATGAAAGTATATTTTAGAATTGCCTTTGTCAAAAATTACTGCTAAGAAGGTAGAAATTCAATGCACAGACTGGTAAACTCTATTTGCAATGCATATTTCTGAAAAAAAGGACTCAAATGCAGAATATGTAAAAAGCTCATAATAAATCAATAAGGAAAATAATGAATAAAACTGGCAAAAACTTGAAGAGCCACTTCAAAAATATGATGTCCAATAGCTAATAAACATACGAAAGTGTGCTTAATGTTATTATTCCTTTTTTATTGTGGTGTGCCTCAAGTTGGCTCCGACTCCTGGTGACCCTATGACTGAGTGATGTCCACAATGTCCTGTTCTCAACAGCCCCTCTCATCTCCTGTAGACTCACGCCTGTGCTTTACGGAGTCAATCCATCTCATATTTGGTCTTCCTCTTTTCCTGCTGCCCTCTACTTTTCCCAGCATTATTGCCTTTTCCAAGGAATCCTCTTTTCTCATGATGTGCTCAAAGAAAGACAGCCTCAGTTTTATCATCTTTGTCTTCATCAATAGTTCAGGCTTAATCTGCTCTAGGACCCACTTGTCCATCTTTCTGGCAGTCCAGAGTATCTGTAGAGCTCTCCTCCCACACCATAGTTCAAATGAATTCACTTTTTTTCCAGTCAGCTTTCTTCCCTGTCCAGCTTTCACACCTGTACATAGTAATTGGGATGCAGGGTGTGGGTAGTCTTGGCCTTAGTTTCTAATAACACTTCCTTACACTTGATGATCTTTCCTAATTCTTTCATTGCTGCCCTTCTGAGTCTCAGCCCTCTCTTGATTTCTTGGCTGCAGGCTCCACTTAAGCAGATGACTGAATCAAAAAACCCCAAAATATTTAACACTTTGAATGTCTTCATTATTACTCATTAGGGAAACGAAAATAAAACACCATTTTAATGTTCCATCTGTGTCTTTTCAGCACCCTGAATGTATTAATGTAGCTAAGAGGAAATGAACCCAAGAGGAGAGGGAAAAATAATGACTATCTTCAGGAAAATAGATGATTGAGTAAATTTCCTAGGAGCTTCAATCATTGAACCCATGTGGAGAGGAGAAAAAGCGGTAACAGGTCACAGAGCTGGCGACACTGGAGGAAAGGCAGGTTTTACTAGGAAAAAAGAAAGTTAATATTTATTGAACTTATTATGTCAGGCACTGTAATGTGCATTTCAAATTCATTATCTAATTTAAACATCATATACTCTATGAGACAAATTTTACTGTTACCATTTTCTATATTTGGCAAATGAGACATAACTTACTCAACTTTGAAAATCATTTCTACTTTTATTTTTAGCCAGAGTGTAGCATCCGAGAGGGCTCCTAAAGAGCATGATTTGGACCATGGAGAAGCGATTGGCCCCAGAACAGGGTGGCTGGATTCTCAGTGATGCTGACATTACTGGTTTAAACTGGACCCTAAACGGAACTGGAAAAGAAGATGCCAAACCTAGGTACAAATTGTCCCAGGATCTGTGGATGAGGAAATCATCCACTAAGCAGCTAACGGTGCTGAATGCTTTAGCAAGCTCCTTATACAATAGTGTGCTGGAAGGAATAAGGGGCTACAGGGAAAGATGAGATCCTATTCCTTAAACACTCCAAGCAAGTTTCCACATCAAGACCTGGGCCCCTTGCCTTTGCCCTCTCTGCCTGTATTCCTATCCCCTCAAAATCTGCATGGTGTACCTCTGAATTTCCTTTACATCTCCTCAAATCTCACCACTTTGTGAACCTTTTATCTAAATCTTTCTATTTTCCTTCCACACTCCATGTATCAAGAGCAAAAGCAATTCCTCGCTGAAGCACTGCCATCTGGTGTTCTGCTAAAATATTTTGCGAGGCTAACAGTGGCCTCCCTGCTGCCCTCCAGTGTTCATGGGTTTAACTGTGGCGAGGCCTAGTTCCAATAGGAGCCACCACTGCTGAACCAAAGTCAATAAACTTCCCATTGCAGTAATCATGCAAGAGAGGATTCAGGAGAACTGGCTGGTTTTTAGTCTCCTTCCCTGCCATATGTGGAGGTGATTGACTTCAAAACGACATACATAATACATGGGATGATTTGGGCTGGAGAGTAAGGATTATCTTGGAAATAATAGTTGGCTTTGTTGCACAAGGTGGGAGGTTTTTCTCTGTGAGATGAAATTGTGTCTACTGCTCTGTCCTTTATTGTAGGATAGGAACATCCTGAGAAGTGGGAGCAAGAGTCAATGATGAAAAAAAAAAACAGTTGTAGTGAACCCTGCTGGGTAAACTATTTCCATGATATGACATCCCACTGAATCTCCCAATATAACGTTATAGTGAACTGATTCCTCAGTAACAGTAAGAAATGTAACAGACCATGGATACTTACAATAATACATGAAATCTGGTAAGTAAATTGTGAAATACACCTCAAAAAAATATGGAGCTTTATCTTGTGGATAGATTACTCTGTGATTTCAGACTGTGCCTACCAATTTCCAATATTTTATACATTGCATGCCTCTATTTGAGTGCCTAAGATAGGGAAGTTATTGTCCTAGCTGATTTCCATATCGCTTCTCATTTAATTCTTATTGGACCTTCAAGGTTGGTTCTGTCCTCTTTTAGGGAGACAGTGTAGCAACGTGCTTGAGACAACAGACTTAGGTTATATTTCTAGATCTACCACTCATTAATTTAGTGATCTTGGGAAAATAACTTCATAATTTTTATGCTTTAGTTTCCTCATGCCTACAATGTGGTTATTGATAGTATCTACCACACAGGGTTAGTATGAGAAGTAAATGAGATGATGAATGCCAGTGCTTAGCCCAACGCCCAACAGAAAGACACTGGCTCCTTACAGAAAAGGAAACTGAACATGAGAGAGGTTAAGTACCTTGACTCGTGTTGCAAAGTGTCAGAGTGGAGCCTTCTCTCCACACCTTATTTAGAGCAGATGCCTTTCCTCACCCCAAGAGAAACTCTCTATCTCAATACAGTATTGTATTGTCTTTATAGTGCTTATCACTATTTAAAACTATCTCATTTTTTAAAAATCCAGTTATTTAATTTTTTTATCCTCCCACTGCACTATGGGCCTTTTGTATTCTCTTCACTACTGCATCGTCCATGCTTGGCACGCAGGAGGCACAATTGATAT